AGATTTTTGTGGTGAATTGTTGTGACCTTCAAAACTGATGAAGAGAAGGAGCACTTATAGTAAAGTGACCCTGGAATACTGAATAGGTAATTTAATTTTTTTTTTTTTTTTTTCTGATTTTTGTGGTGAATTTTTGTGACCTTCAAAACTGATGAAGAGATGGAGCAGGGACACTTATAGTGAAGTGACCCTGGAATACTGAATATGTAATATACTTTTCTTTTTTTTTTTGAAGTGTTGGTCTGTTTGATGATGTATTTATTTGTCTCACCTCAATCTGAGCATAGCAGCTGTCAGGTCTGCTGAGGAAAGACAGGTTGCGGTTCTTCTCTCTGACCACTCGGACTCCACAGTGGTCTTCAGACTGGGACACCGGCACTGCTGCTCCGGACTTATCTACAGACGGGAGGGGGAAACAAAACACCGGTAATACAAGACAATTAAACCCGTCTCCGTCTGCGGTGACTTTACCTCTGACGTGTATATTCTCATCCACCATGGAGCCAAAGACAGCTTTGACTCTGCGGGCTGAGCAGGTGACTCTGGGCAGAAGCAGCTGTTGTCTCCGCTCGGTTGTTTTCTTCTTCATCTGCGCCGCTGAGTGACTCCAGCACAGCTGGGAAACCAAGGCTAAAGCTACAAAGAGCCAAACCACTTGAACACGAATGTAAATCATCTCCTGATCACTTTCCTGACTGACTTTACTGATAGTTTTGGGTTTTTTTTCCTTTCTTGGAAACGCGCAAATCTCTTCACAGACTCGGGCGTGAGATCACGAGACAACTGCTAATTAGTGTTGATTGGTTTGAAGCCGTCTGTCGCCAACTGTCGCTCAAATGACGGTTCATTTTAAACACAAATCTGCAGCTTTTCTCCGTATTTATTCTTCAGTGAAGAAAAAAAGAAGAAGAATAATAAGTTGGACCCACCTAACTCCACCGTCACAGGCGACAGATAAGTAAAACAGAATCAATGTTGATATTGATAATATTTGATACCTTTTACTTTATATGCTAATATATAACGTACTGCTTTTTTCTTTACCAAAATAAACTATACACTAAATATGTTGTTGTTTAAAATGTTTGATATATTCGATAACTTTGACAAACGTTTAGCTACATTGCTAAGATATTACAGCAGAGAAGTTTGTATACATTATTTTCTAGGAAATTACAACTGAAAACAACCATATTATTAAATAGAGGCTGGTAAATGGGTAGATGAAGGTTTATTAACCAAAGTACAACGTCAGTACAATCGTATTAATATGGTATAATATTGTGTTTTGTTTTTGTTTTGCTGGTTTTTCAATTACCTTAAAACTCACAAGTTTTAAGTAGAAACACTTTTAATTGTCAGCGCGCAACGGTTTCGTAAAACCCAGCACTTTTGTAAATTTGTGTCACGGTCAGTCGTTACGTCATGACGCAATCCGTGACGTAATCAGGGGGGGCAACCCCACAGGGCTGACCGTCAGATTTTGGCATCAGCTACAGCAGTGGAACGAGAGAAGGAAACGGCAACGTTACTCAGATCGTAACCATGGCTCTGAATCGAAACCATTCCTCAAACGGCGGCGTTTTGATTAATAACGGAGAGAGGTGAGTGATATTAATGTGTATTTGGCCGCAGTTTTACTAGTCGAATGACTGTCGCCCTTCTCTTGGCTTGTTTACATTCTACTTTTTTTCAGTGCGTAGTCAACATGATGCTACCTAGCATTCCGCTAGCCCGGCCCGCTAATCGATATTAGCAGTTTTGTCGCGGTGTAACAACATTTGTCATTACTATAAGCGTGGTTTATGTTTTGACAAATCATTGTGAAGTGTATTAATAAGATATTTTAAGAAAGACGTCAAGATATATCTTCCGCTTCTTTACGCTAAAAGGCCAAGTTGTTAGCCAACTGTCAAAACAGGAAGTAGTATGATGACAGCTGATCAACAGTTTCTCTATTGTTGCGTAAATCCGATGGAATTTCTACTACATGGCTTAAAGTTGGCTCTGAACTGTCGTATTGTTTTATACATATTTACAAACATTTTATCTATTTGTCATCCAGTATTTGTCGTGTGTGATTGACAGGCTGACATTTAGCCACAGAAAAGCGTTAGAAACTCGCAGTTATTGTTTGATGTTTGCCCGAACCCCCTCCGTCCTCTGTAGGGTGTTCTGTGAACACAGCTGTAATTCGCTGCTCCATTGTTTTATAACAATGTTACGACGTTTTCAACACTTGTACACAGACTAACATTGGCCTGTTGTTAGATGTTAGTGAGCAGAATGTTAGGATTATGCATTATTATATTGATGATTTTTGTATTTTGTTGACGTCTGTGAACATTTTAAAATATAACAAAAAATACTTAATTACTTAGTGTCTTAACATACTCACACGTGCCTTTACTTTTCCCCCCCACAGTGTTTTAAGAGAATGTAAGAACGTGGAGCTGTTGTTCAGCGATGTTGCCACCAAGTCAGATCTGATGAAAGGGACCAAGAAGGGCACAGTTTACCTCACACCATACAGGGTACGGCAGTGAGGAACAAAATACTGATCATTTCTTTAAAAACATAGTTTATCACAATATGTTTGTGTGTTTATAAGTTTACCTATAAACGTCATAACTATAAAGAAACTAAAGAATATTTAGATTTAAAATTCCAGGACAATTAGTTTGCTTAAACAATGAACTGATTTGGATTCTTATTCAGCAGTGAATTCCCTACAGTATGTTCAAAGATTGTCAGTGTCATTGATGTAGTTGTGTGTGTCTCTCTCCACATGTGCCTGACGTCACTTCCTGGTGTAGTTGGTGTTTGTGTCCAGTAACACCAAGGACTGTCTGGGTTCAGCCATGTTTCCCTACTATCTGATGAAGGGCTGCAGTATTGAGCAGCCGGTCTTTGGAGCTAACTATATCAAAGGGACCGTTTCAGCTGAGCCTGGTGGTAAGTGGCTTTTTTTTTGTGTTGAATTTTTGAGTTCCTCAGCGGCAGTGGTAAACAAGCTCATTCTGAAAACCAATATCCCAGCAGATATATGTTTGCTCATGTTTATGATCACAGCCGGTGTTCAGCATCATGTTCCTGTTTTTTTTTTTAAAGAATTCATGTGACTTCACTTACAGGCGGCTGGGAGGCCCAGGCCAATTTCAAGATGTCATTCCCCAGTGGAGGAGCCATTGAGATGGGACAGCATCTCTTCAAACTGGCTACAAATGGTAATTTCACCAGTGCCTGTAGTATCCTCCCTGCTCTCTTTATTTAAATTAAAATAAAAAACACCCAACTATGTCTTGTATACATCAGTTGAATAAATGAATTTGTGAATCCTACTAAATGAACACACTTCACTGTCACTGTGTTCCAGCTTCTCGTGCCGGTCCTCCCCAGAATGGTGCGCCCTCATATGGTTATCCTTCACCAGTGATGATGAACGGCTACGGGCCGGCGGCTCCAGCACAGGGAGGCTACGCTTATCCAGCACCTCCTCAGCAGAACGGATTCTACCAGGGGCCTCCTTCTGCTCCTGCTCCTGCCCCTGCTCCTGCTCCTGAGTACGGTTATCCCCCTGCTTCTGCGATGCCCCCTGCAGGTACACGGCTCTTACCCTTTTATTATTACATGCATAATTAGTATTGTAATGTTGATGTAAATTTACTTCTGTTCTTATTGTTATGGAGAAAAATGCTTTGATTTGTCTTTTATGATTCTGGCCTCAGGGTTGAACCTCACTGTCTGTGTATGAACCAGGTTCCACAAAATGTGATGTCGTTTAACAAGAATTCCTTTGTTATTGTTCCTCTCTTGTTTGTTCTAGGAATGTACCCCGCTGGGTGTGATTACATGGCTCCACCCCCACCTTACCCTGGGCCACCCCAAAATTGGAATGCACCCCCACAGTACTGGTCAAATCCTCAACAACCGCCAACAGCTCCAGGTCTGTTTCTGTTTCTGTTTTTCCCGTAGCATGTCTGTCAGAGCTCACCTTTGTGACTCACTGTAGAGCCACGTGTAGCTCACGGCTACGAGTAAAAAAAACAAACTAAAAGCCCAACTTCCTGTTTACATTTCTTTTTCACCCCTTTGTTTTCGTTGAAGCCTGTGTGACATGAGCTGCTACTAGATTAGTCACAGATCCAACGTGGACAGCCGTCATTGTCATGACTCACATGACTGACCACGGCGTCGTCAGCTGCAACATTGCAGCGATCACTGACCTTTTCTAACCCCGTTCCTTTCTTGTTGGTTACTCCCAGGCAGCGCCACCATGACCCCTGCTGTACCCAGTGCATATTTCAATCCCAATAACCCTCACGGTGTCTACATGCCCATGGTAGGACGCTGGTTTGGTTTTTCTACCATTTATTTACAGCCGTGTTTCTGTGACAAACATTCCTGACTGGTGTTTGTTTTGTTTTTTTGTTTGTTTTTGTTTCTCCGTCTCACAGGAGCGGCCGTCCCCGTACGCACCAAACTCAAATTATCCTGAAAAGAAAAGCAACTGAGGCTCAGGCTTCAACACTTCAGTGACCATGGTCTCCTCCTCTTTATCTTTTATTTTTCCACTTTAAAACCAGTGGTGATTTTTTTTTTCTTAAGGATTGTAGAATGCACTAAAGAAAAGGCATGGAGTACAGATTTTCAGGATGTCAAATATAATTTTTATCACCAAAAATTAACCATTGGAAACAGGGGAAAAAAAGGATTATTTCTTATTTTGTCTAATTCAATCTGTGGTTTCCCAGTGCGTCATCTTTATTTTTACTTGTGATGGGGTTTGATTTTTTTTCTTTTTTTTTTTTTCTTCTCATTCCCAGTCCTGAGTTTTTTTTTTTACCCCTTTTTTATTTTATAAAGACAAGTTTATACCAAAACATCTTTTCTAGGTATTTACTTGAAGTCCCCAGGAGCAACTCCAACTATCATTTTTCTCATGATCATTGCCAGTGCAGTGTGTTTTTATATATAGATTTACACTGAGTATTTGTTGTTCATGTCTACGCCCCTGACCCGTTGCATGTAAGACCATATTTCCACAGACCTAAAGAACAGGGTGAAGTTAAAATGACAAAACTGACACGAAAACAAACCAACAGAGCAGAGTAAGAGTCTGTCCTGGTGGTCACGCCTCAGGACGGAGGGAGACGGGGACACCCAGGCTGGTTTTTTTTTTTACCCCTTTTTTGTCCTAAGACCAAATGAACCACGGCCCAGTACAGATCCATGACCCAGTGGTTGGGAACCACTGGTTTATATAATTAAACCTGGGGCTAACTAGTGTTTATTATTATTAAAGTTTGTAGGTTTAGGTTGGTAATAAATTTAGTTGCTAGATGACCGCTGTGAGGAATGTCAAACATCAAAGTGAATCTATAGTACGAGTGACAACAGTGTTGATTAATTAAATTTTTTTTGGAAATGAAAAAAACAAAACATTCTGAGTATTTTCTTACGTAATAACTTAATTATGTGCAATATTTGAACCTTGCATAATACTTTAGTTGCTGAGGAAACCCTGGGAGTCGACACAGCCTGAGGGTCAGCACGGGGGGGGGGGGGGGGGGGGGGTCTAACCACCATGTTTACCCCCCCCCACCCCCCCATCTTTAGCAGTAACTTCATTAATGGCTTGTTTGAAGGACTATTTGCACAAAGTCTTTTCAGTCTGACTTTTTGTTTTTCCTGTAATAACCAGATGTTGTTATATTAATATTTCTTTCTTTTTTCAGAGTTTTGACTGTACTAATCTAATAAATGTCACTAAATTCCACTAAATGTCGTTGTGGTACGTCTGATCTTAATGGGTTTTAACACTTAATTATTATTGATCTAATTATCATACGACCTTTGGTTGATTTATTGACCAGATTTACTGCAGGGAAACTAGTTTTTTTTTACTAAATGAGCCTTAAAAACTTTAAATTAAATTAGCATTATTTAAATCCTATTTATGGTTATTTACTTACAGATAATAAATCGATTTAGTTTAGTTTAGTTAGCTTCAATATAAGACTGAGACGTGATTATTTATTAATATATTTATTACGTGACAAACTTCTTAACCCTGAACATTTCCCAGGCTGTAACCAGTGATCCAATAAAGATAGCTGTTCATGCACCATGACACACAATAATAACACAGACTCAAAACGAATTCTTCAGACCGGAAAAATATTCACAAACTGTAAAACAACACTGATACCTATAGCTTCTTCTTCTTTTTTTTTTTTTTAACTTTTTTTCTTTTTTCTTCACTCAGCTGTTGTCCGTCCAGTCAACGTCTTCATACTTTTATGGCTTCACTCCTTTTTCTCACGGTTGGTTTTGCCACCAGGTCTATGTTTGAATTCTAAATTTCCCACAGCTCTCACTGTGTTGTACGTGACGTTCAGAGTCCCAGTGTTTGACCTGTTTGACGTCACGTGGGTGGTTTGATTTCCAGGGCGTTCGGCTGTACTGACGTCACCCCTCCCCCCTCCTGCCCCCCCCACCTGTCCTGGAAACCTCAGGTCAGCAGGTCAGGTGACTGACCTGAGGTTTGGCTGAGCGCACGAGAGAGCATCAGTGGGACTCTGACAAATATTTGGAAGTCTGGATTATTTGAAAATGTTTCTGAGATTCCAGATGATCTGAGATTGGTGTTTTGTGTGACTTTTCACGTTTTTTAAAATAATATTTCAAATTTTAAACAGCACAGTGGGAGATTTAAAATAATATTTCTTAACATCCAGTCCTTGTGTTTCCTGCTCTGGTCTTTGGTTGGTAGAGACGGTGACGGAGCGGACGGACAGTGGATACTGTGGGACAAATGAAACTCAACCCCCCTCCCCGCCCCCCCGGCCTCCGCGGTGAAGTCAAAAGGCTGTGAATTCAGTCGGACCAGGACGGTCACTTTACAGACGAGCCGCGTTTAGAGGCTGCAGCTCTACTGTTGCCCCAATTTGCCCCAGTTTAAACTGCTCTGACGTGGGCTGAAGTGACTCACCGCAGAGCCTGGCCTTCATTAAGGATTTAGAGCTCTCCTCTGAGCCTGTC